TACACCATGACTTAGTTATGGTGTACTGGACTCTGCTGCCATGATGGCGACAAGTGGGAATCTACTAAACTAAAAGATATCTATTTCTTTGGTGTAATGATCTCGCGAAGTCCCGTATATAGAATGGGACTCCGTGAGGAGCTTCTAACCTCGATCGTCACGGTCGTATCACATGTGGTCAACACGCACGCTTGCCGCGTATTCCTGGCCTGCGCGTGACCAACCCGTGCTAACATTACGTAATGACATGCCGCTAATACGCTCCGCGCGGTCAACGTTCGCTGCTGCTGATTGCTAATTTCAGTTCTAATTGCTCGCTACTGCTGTAATATTATTTAACTCTGCGCTCGCGCGTAGCGCAAATATCTATACATATGTTACCACAAACACCACGTATCTTTTCAAACTAACTCTACTATCTATACCTTCTAATAATTCTAAACTATAGTAACACTGTTACACTTGTTCTTCTCAATATACTCTACCCATACAAAGACCTCATAATGTAGTTTATTTCATGAAATTTATCATTATCCATTATTTTTTGTTTCCCTTTAATAATTTCAGGCAAGTGCTTTGGGCTTGTTGGCAAACACGAGTCACTTGCCCGACCTGGCAAGTGAGGAAAAAATTGTAGCACCATGGTGCATGCATGCTCTTATTCACAATCAGAACTCTTGCTCAAAGGATTGTACACAATTATTGTGCTTAGGCTAAAATGTCATTACCCTTTGACATCTACATGCTAACCAAAAGGCCTTCCTATTTTTAAAGAATAAACTGCTGGATGACATTCATGTGCTCATAGTGTGTAAGCCGCCCAGGACAAAACCATTTTTGAAGAGGAGGCATATAGCTCGTGTAAGATGGAAGTGGCAAAAGCTTTCCAGTGCCTCAAGTATAGAAGCCGTAACGGCCGTAACACTTTGTGTAACGTCCGAAAACGCTCGTTAGCCTATTTCTAATTATCGTAATTCTAAATTTTCTGTTCTATAATTTAACCCATCATAAGTTTGCAGTAAATATGTGATAATATAAAAGTCAGTCAATTATTTTTCTTTACAGCTAAAAAAAATGCACAAAATGTTACGGACGTTACACAGTCCAATGGAAAAATGGAGCGGGAAAATAATTACTCGTATTGCGCTTCGGGCAACGGATATCAATTTTTTTTTTATTAAGTTTTATTTGTCACAACTAAATATCTAAAGTAGCATTCCTAAAATACAAATTTTATGTGAAAAATGAAGCACTTTTATAACCTACTTTTTTTAATGCCAAATTTGCAATAAATTGTCCTTTTGCGCATCCATATTCAAATGATGATATAACAACTAAAACAAACGTATTGAGATGATATTATATCATACTCATTAAATATAGATAAATAGGATTTGGACGTTACGTCTCAACTCTCAAGTTAAGCGGTAAGAGGACTGGAGTAAAATACAGTACGTATATTCATTTCTAATTCACGAAACTAAACTCATTTGTTTTGCAACTGAACTAGAACTTTTTCAATTGAACAGCTAAATATTACAACAATAAAGGTCTCGAACCGTGAAATATGACATGACGTGGCTTGGACAACAGCATCGCAAGTGTTACAGCGTCCCATCTATTCTATACTACTGCGAGGATAAATAGTACATCACAGAAACCTGTAACAACTTCACGACGTTCGACTTCCAACTACACAGAGTAGTACCAGGAGTCTATCAATAGACTCCTGGTAGTACGTATAACAATTTCGATCAGAAAGCCACGCGGCGTCTTCTATTACATACGCTGAGAAGGTCTATGTCCCCCGGGGTACTGCCGGAACGTACCCTGGGTACGGTCCGGTATACCGGAACGTACCATGGTACTATCTAATATGAGGGACCGTACCTCGCCTACTCCCTAACCCTATCAGATAGTTACCAGGGTACGTTCCGGTATACCGGACCGTACCCAGGGTACGTTCCGGCAGTGAGTATGTAACCCTACGAGCTCTATTACAGCTTCACGTGTATCGTCAGTTGGAAAGAACGCAAATAATCACAATAAGGGAGTCACTTTATTATTACCTCCGCCACGGAGGTTATGTTTTCGCCCGTTATATAGATTAGTTTGTTTGTTGGTTTGTCTGTCAACAGGATATCTCAAAATGTTACGGGCGGATTTTGATGAAATTTTTTGGACGGTCTTGGGCCAACAACCAATCGATTAGATTTTGGTGGTGATCCGGATCCAGTTCAGTTCTGGATCGAGGATTTTTTTGTGGGGAAGACTTCGGACGCATTCAAAATTCATTAAAAAAAAAATCCTAGGTATTTTTTTTCAGATTTTCTAAAATTTCATCAAGAGCGTATAAAGAAGGTAGTATTCTTTATACGCTCTTGAATGGGTGAACACCAGCAAGATGGGTGGACTGTTACGCTGTGGTGGAGGTTTGCTATCTCCAATTGCTCTTGTTAAAAAATATCGTTAATAAAATGGAAGTATTAATATTTCCTATATACTGCTGTCACAAGCATCTGTACTGTAACCGTTTCATAGCCATTAAAAAAAACGTTTGTAGACAAGAAAATGACACAAGTGGTTGCGCCTTATGATAGACTATTGTTCAAGGTTGACTTGTGACACTTGTGTGTCAGGTTTCAAAAAGGAGAGAGACTCAACACAACTCACTACGTATTATTATTATATATTCCATATGAATGCATTTAATTATACCACGTTTCCAACGGGCTGAAATATTGAACACATCAATGTCTCGATTACAATTATGTATGTACAAAATTCAGGTTAAATTATGCATAAAAACATTTATCGATAACATTAATAGACATGGATTACAAGTGTTGGCTAAAACTATTTTTGATGGCATATCATATTGTGGGCATAATATTCATACATGTATAAGTATACCAAACTGCCGACCAGCCAGAAAATATCATGCATTGCTTGTACATAGATACATCTATTACGTTAATTTGGTCTATAAAAAATTATATATATTTCCTACACAAAACAAAAGATGTCATATAGCACTTACAACCTCCTATGAAAGAACATAAAATCATGTGTCAATTCACTAATTTCGAATTGTCCAGGCGTTTTTTTTCTGTAACACAAAATTTGCTACAAAGCCGTGTGCAAACTACCCGGTAATATCTACTGACCCATGTTGGCATTCCTAAATGCACGACAAAGAACATGAATCGATCACTCAAAATCGCAGCAATGTGCAAGCAAGGGGCTGTTTACAGAAGCTTATTAACGCATACGTAGATATAAGAGATATAGAACTCACATAAACCCAACCAGTTGCACAACTATATTACAGAATCAATCTTTTACGAAATGTAGGTATAATCAATCGGCCGGCATTTTTGTTTACTTTCATTCACACTGTGCAAATAATGCCCTGTCCTTACTGATAGTAATGATATCAAATATAAGTAATTGACACACCCGTATGTTTACCTTCAGGTGCATGAATGTATTGATGGCCAGAACTGCCTGTTCTGAAAATAACGTCTACGGGCTGCAACCAACGCTTCTGAGTCGATCTACAGCACAATATCACAATGAAATACAATAAACAAGTCTTCTTGGTTAATCTTATATACATGCTCATTCTCTCCAATCGGCTGCAAGGATGAGCAAAAATGAAGAGCGTTCATGTCTTGGTAATTGTTAGTTCTGTAGTTATTTGAAAGGTTTGCATATATGTGAGATAATGATCTTTTCGTTTTATTTAAAAATAGCATAATTTCCAAGCGCAGATATATAATATATCCATAATATTACAACATTGCTGTGTATATGTATTGCTGTGCATTGCACTGAAACTGTCACCCATAAAGGAAGGATTATATCACTTTGCTCACGATCACATTAGTCAATTAATGGTATTCTACAGAGAATCACTACAGGCAATGTTTGCATGTAGAAATTATATCAACTTCGTTGGTGATCTTGGTCACGTAAATAAGAAGACAGTAAAGAGAATGTAATGTATATAAAGAAAGGGATGTATAACATAAAGTCTACAACTATATAACTACACAATCACCCGCAAACAGCATTCAAGAGCATCCGAATGCTCGTGCACGCACGTGCCTGACAATACATCCCGCCAGCAATATCGCACTCAACGCTCACAGCTGATCTACATTTAGGGTCGAACAGCATCTGGGTTCCACATGCGCAGGTTACCCAAGGCCTGATTCAGCTTGTTACACCATACAATCCTCTCCTCCTTTGTGTCCGCCGACAGTAAAAACCTAAAGAAATTATGTGATCAATTAGCACTATAAATCGGGGATTGTTTTGCGCACCAATTTACAAGGCATAATTAGAAAACGAATGCTACATATAGTCAGTATCTGCATGTTTAATTTAATCGCGTCTGTAAGACAGTAAGTGTCACTCCCACAATGTATTTTTTTTAAATTTCATTTATCTACTTCCACCACACTAAATGTGGAAAGTAGATATATATGCACGTTTAGATGGATAATTGATGTTCTTTCTGCTTGTCTGCTTGTATGACTAAATATAGATGGTCGTAATGTGGTTCATAGAGCAATGATGAACGTTACAATTGTAACTAAACGCTGCACCACACGTGAACACTACACTCTGTCATTGCCGCTGTTGCTTTTAAACTTTGCAGTAAGTCTACAATGAATCACACAATACCTAGTGATGGTAACTTTGCTGTGAACCTCTGCGACCAGCGAGTCTATGTCGCCGGGAGCGCAGGGGCGCTGCGTGATCAGCATGAACGTGTGCTGACGGGCACAGATCTCCCGCGGCGCCACATCAACCTTTTTGGAGTTGCACATCGCCAGGTCTATGCTTCCTATAGGCGGCTAATGGAAGGCAGAGAGTAGTATGCGATAAATACAACCGAAATGATGGTATATCGCTACTCCTCGTGAAAGGCGCATCCTCGTAATTCTAGCTGAATTCCCTAAACTATGTTCATTTTGACTATGTTCTGATCCATTACGAATCTCATGAATTATAATTTCAAAAAAACTAAATTGCACGCAACATTCGGTTAGGGTTGGTAGCGACCGGCAGAAGTCTCACCTTCCTCGTCTCGTCGTCGGGGTACTTCCAGAAGGAGATGCAGCTCGCACCGAGGACACACCAGCGGCGGTGCCACGCTCCGAAACCATTCACGTCATCATACATGGCCTGCGTGCATGACACATAAACGTCACATGCAATTACTGAATTACATACACATCGACTGACTGGTTAGGGGTCTATTCATGCTTATGTGAGACGTGAGTAGGATGAAAGCAACCCAGTTGATTTAAGACGATTGAGAAACATTTGAAATAAAATATAACAAAACAATCATGGAGAACACTGCCACTAAATCCCCACTTGTAGAGTACTTGGGGGAAAGTGGTACCTTTCTATTGCCATTCACGAGACCGACAGATTGCTCGTTAGTACCAGCAACTCTGTTGTGATAGACTGATTGACTACTTTAGTATCTGGCAAGAAAAAGAAAAGTGCTGGCTCACTCACCATGAAACCCCTCTCCAGAATCGTTGTTCCACTTGTGTGGCAAGTGATGTCTGCACAGAGGCTGCCCTCTAGTGGCGACAGGAACGGCACCTATGGAGCAAACCCGATTAGACATTAACAGTGGAAAGCTGTGTGCCTGCAGATGCAACATACACACATTGCAGTTGATTAGAAACATAACAAGATCTTACACACTATCCATCACGTCGCCACGTTCTCTCGTACCTTTTCAAGCGTGAAACTGTTTCTGTCTATGTTCTTCAGGGTCAGGCTGGTGTAGCCAATAAGGCAGAAGCTGGTTGTTTTGACAGCGCCTGGGCTGGAAAACGCTGCAAGCAACAAGTGAGCATGGTTACAACAAGGCAGAGGGGGGAGCCAGTAGTGCCTGAAATTGTATCTACTGAGTAAGTTTTACCATTGCCTATGTAACAAGGTGAAATGTACAGTCTTTGTATGAGGCAAACAGCATGCTTTCTCAGGATACAATCTTTTATTCGATGCACAACACAGTTACAATCGCCAGTCGTATCTCCCCCTTTAAATCTCTCCCCTCGCCTACATCACTTCTATCCACCCCCCTTGCCTTATTTTTCTATCCCGGACTATCTTATATATATCTCGGGCGTGGCTTTTCGGTGGACACATGTTCTCCCTCGCAAGCCGGTCCTCTCGCCTATCTGCCCTATTGGTTGGTATTCGAACATTGATCGGTCAAAGGATCGTGGTTACTCATACGTCATTTTGGAACGTGTCCAAACCCAACCTTCTGGCCCCTGCCTGGCGGCCAAGTACTCCTGGTTACTTTGTATCTGCATGCGTTGCTTCTGCTGTCTCATGACAATGGCTAATTCTATTCGCATACAACCAGAGTGCTAGTAGCCCGACTGGTCGTGTTAGAATTGGTCATATATATTGCACTGAAAGGTCACCTCTGGCTAGACTGGTTCGCGGCCGCACCGTTTGCCGCAGAGTGTGTACATTGTCTAGCAGAGCGTGAGGCCGGATACCAGCTAGTCTAACCTTCGGCAAAAACAATAACGTGGCTTGCTGCCAGCCGCAGTAGACGATCGATAAACCGTGCGCTAATGTGTATGCCCGTGGTAGAATACGAATGCTGCACGTGAACTCGGCCCACGCGCGATTTAAAGCGCGGGAAACATTTCATACGATGACACTCTTATCTAAATAAAGTTTTTCATAACAATGGTCTGGGTCTGGGCTAGTGAAAGTTAGGTCAGGGCTAGTGGTTTTCCTCAGTTACTAGCCCGATGGTCTAGTGAAATAAAAAGTTAATGTTGAACCCTGGGCCCTCTAAAACTAATCACACCATGTCTTCCCAAAGGTTACCAATACCCATAGCCTTATGGTGTCATTTTTTCAATATGCAGTAAGACGATTTTATAATCATCGCCTCTCAAACTAAGTTCTCTACCGCGTGTGTGCCACTGGCGCTTGTGATCTACATTCCTACTTTTCGGTATTAAATCTCACTCGCATGAATTTTCATCGCTACACCTATGTATGACAAGAAGTTAAAATGTTGCTTACCTGGATTAGCAAGAACCGAATGCGACTTGCTCTTCTTGGGCGTTTTCTAAAACAGAGGTCGTAACCATACTGTGTGAGTACATAGAAATTTCTTACAGTTACTGCATCATGGGGGTATAACTAGGTTCAGCTTGGTAGTAGACATTACTTGTACTTCCTAGATATATAGAGCAGTGTTTCCCCTGCATTGAAACGAGTGAGGCGGGCCGCCTCGCTTAAATTCTCAGCCGCCACAGAGAAATTTGTCGAAAACACCGCCTCGCTGACGAAAATCACTGTGCTTCCATAGAACAGAGCTTAGAATGCACCAAATTCACCATTTTTTCTAAAAAAAATTCCTTTGCTAGGACCTCGAAATGCTCAAACACATCCCAAATAAAGTTTACCACCTCACAGACCTTTTTGGCCAAGGGAAATACTGTAGAGAATGGAGAGACACAGTAATACATACTTGGCAGGGGGAATCATGCACTACAATATAATAACCAGTTGTAAAATACAGCCTATTACTGTAATGGCTCTACATTCCAGAAGATTTGTTTGGAATACCTTCGACTTTTTGCCGTGACCTTTATCTGGCATTACGCACTCTTTTCTTGTTTGCTGTAAACAAACAAGAAAGTAATCGAAATTTTAGGAGGATAAGCATGTTATATATAGCATATTACGAGAATAATAGTATTCCAGCATACCATGACAGAGAGATTAGATGCTCTGATATACATATATTTAAGTGTGAGTCATGTAGTTTTACGTTTCGATTGCCTCATGGATGAGACTTATATGCTTATTTTGATTCATTCTCGGTGATTACTTATAAATGTGAACTGGAGATTGTTTACAAAATTTCACTGTCATTCACACCAATGCAGCACTGTCATTCACACCAATGCAGCACTGTCATTCACACCAATGCACCACTGTCATTCACACCAATGCACCACGCCATTCACAACAATGTGCCACTGTCATTCACACCAATGCACTACTGTCATTCATCACCAACCCACCACCACCATTAACTACCAAAACACATGTCGTTCACCACCAAAGTGTTACTGTCATTCACCACCAAAGCACCTGTCATTCACCACCAAAGCACCGTTGTTATTCACCAGAAAAACGCCACTGTCATTCACAACTAGCGATCGGTCGTGCTGCGGTTGCTCACCATGCCATAGACGTCGATGTCGATCTTGAAGTTGCTGCCGACGTCCTGCAGGCAGATGCAGTTACTGAAGCAGAGGCTGCCGCTGATCACGTTCTCGTGCGTTGACAGCATCATCGTGTTGACCACTTGCGGCCCGTTGCGTATCAAGCAGAGGAAGAAGTGCACAAACAGGTCTGCAACGTACGGAGAACCGTGGAGCTAAGACCGAAGCTACGTACGCTCGGGCAGGGGAAAGAGTTGCACGCATATCTACTTGTAGAGTGTACCCCGAATCAAAGGCAACGTCGCAGGCAATGATGAAGACAAACAGAAGAGCAACGATGAGGGGAGAGCGTCTCGTTGTCGCTCACCATTAGTGCTCCCTCTGGTGGCCAGAAACTCGCGTTTCAGAGGCAGCCTGATGTTCTTGACTGTGACGGAGCCCGTGCGACCGCAGTACTCCTTGATGGCACCCTTCTTCTCTACTCCACTCGCCTCCAGCTTCTTTATCTTCTGCAGCTCCGCCATGCACGATGTCCTCTTCTGACCTACGTCGTCACAGCAACACGCAACGCGTGATCAAATATACTATATCTCTATACACAACACGCATAGCAGAATGAGCTAACCTCAACGACAATGCCAGCAAATTAAATCACCTCATTAAACTGAACACAAATTTAACACCTTCGGTCCTCTTGTCAGAAACAATATTAGTCTTAACATTAACTTTTTCTCATAAACCATTGACAAAAAAAAACACGGTAAAGTTACACGTTTCTCAGACGCAGTGTATAGAGAGATATACAAGAAAAAGTCATGGTACGACTAACAGTAAAACAAATTTTGTTTCTGACACTGACCCCTGTCCACCAGCATCATTGTATGTTGGCAGACGTCTGTCGCGAACGACATGTCATAAACCCAGCATCTGAGCAGCGGTGTTGTTGTTACATGTATATATACGTACAGGCGATGAGCAGCAGCCGCTCTCCCTCAACCTGCTCCAGTGATCCGTGGAACTCCTCACGTGAGCGCGCCACGCTGAGTGCGGCACTCGCCTGGCTGATTATAGACTGCTGCCGCGATATCTCATCATTGAGGATCTGCAGCAAGGAGAGAGAGCGTGAGGATAACGAGAATACGTGAAGGTTGTGGAACGATACTGGTATGAACCACATGATTGTGTAGTGTCACACGGATTCGTGCAATACCTACCACTCACATATTATCAAGAGTGGATAAACCCTGTTAACAGGGTTTATGTACTCTAAATATTATTGATTAAGAGTATAACATATGAAGGCATCTGAAGTAATTTGATATTAAGACTTAATACGTAATAGACTTATTCAGCTAACAAAAAACCAAAACAGACAACATTTCGCAATTTGCAGATAGCAAAAATGTTTCTGTGATGCTGCGAGCGATCTTCTAAACTAATTTTAACACAGACAGTCACGGTAAGGCAGGCACCTTGACTTTGTCCTTGAGGCTGATGCGTTCAACCTCGGGCTCTGGTTCAGGTGAAGAACTCCTCTTGCGATCCACGCCTCTGTGTACGACCCTCGTCACAGGTGGCCTGTGATCATTCAGCTTCTGGTTGCGATAGAAGCTCACGCTGTACATGAGGGGAGCGTCATTGTCGCGGGGCGTCACCATCGGTGACGTGTAGTCGTCCTTTGGAGGCTGGACAGCAGGCGGTTTCTGCGTGACAATGGAAAACATTTCAAATAAGAATCGACACGAACATACCACACTGCACTGAGAACACTTAACCAGCCAGAGACGTCCACGACTATGACACACAAAGTTATGAAGCAAGTGGAGACAGCCCTGAATAAGAACTAATAAATATAATAACACACAACTAAAAAAAACTAATAACATTATATACTTTATTATCTCTACAGAATGCACTAACGAAGATGGCGGTGGTACTTGTCAACTTGCACTAAGGAATTGTTCTCCAGAGTGCACTACTGCCAACAACACACCATGTACCACCGGTTGTTACCTGATATATCTAAATAACAATTAAAAAATCACTACATTCAACCCTTCATACATACTCTCGATCCAGAGTTGCTCCTACGGGTTTTCGGTGGGGGGCGTGGTGGCGGAGGTGGCATCTCCTCCTCCTCCTCCTCCTCACTCGACTCACCATCCAGGATGTCATCGATGTTAGCACTGCAGTCAGCATCATCCAGGTCCTTCGTGAGCGAGTCAATCGAGGAGCTGCTGGCTTCCCCTGACGCGCCGGGTGAACCTGCCCGAGAGAAGTCAGAGGTTAGGGCTAGGGTTATTTCTTAAAGAAGAGTATAGCTTAGTATTGCTCTACATAATGAGCAGCTGTCTTTAACGAACACTTTTAGTGTTTTCATTGAGTGGCAGTGGCAGTGAAATCCCCTCTACAGTACAGACACGTGGTTTCAAAGAACATTTTCACACACGAGTTTGACTAAACATGCAGCACAATTAGGTTGCTTATCCATTAGAGACTTCCCACTGAATATAAATACATTGTAACAAACTTTCAAAAACACATATCACACCTATCTCATCTTCCTCCTCTGTTGTATCGGACATCAGAGACTCCAAGCTGGGATACAGAGATGACTTTGATAACTTCTTTGGTACTGAAAGTTGAAAAGTAAATTCCTACAATCTACACCCATAGTCCCATACAATATACTATACATACAATACAAGCTTACCTAAAAGCTACCACCGCAATGCTACCACATACGAGCCACACAGGTCTTAAGGTTTCGCACATCTGATAGCTTACCTAGTTCTTTCACGGGTGACGGTGCCTTAGGTTTAGGCTCCCTCCTAACCACAGGCTCAGCAACCTTCCTCACAGTAGGTTCTGGAGGCGGCGCTGGAATGAACTGGAATGCCTTCTGTTGAATCTGAGCCTCTATCTCAGGTCTCAGGTATTTGGTTGGCGTCGCGCCTCGGTAGTACTGTCCGCTGTCCTTCAGTTTTGCATCCTCATTGTGCGCCTGCTCAGTCTACAATAACACGGGTGACAACAATTAGTGATGCCAATTGCCCACGTAAAGCTGAACGAATACTTACACAGGAGACAAAATAATAATACCTTCCACGTCGATCACAAATTCATAAAGCTGTGCAGGTTTGGTATTTGAGGCATTCCTGAATATTTAGCTGGATGCACACAATTATTTTGTGGCATGGCACCCTGCCTTCTATATATAGGATCATTTTTTGTTGTGCTTGCATGTGTGCATACCTGGCTGATGTAGTCTGAATCAGGTGCTGGTGGTAAGGTGTTAGCGGACGACTCCTCCCAACGGTTGAGCAGACCCACCATCTCCTGCTGTCGCTGATCCCTTGTTTTTTCCATATCAGTGCTGCTCTCCCAGTGATTCATCTACAATATATAGTAAGCACTGTAAGAGTACATTCCTGTTCATGTGTGGGATATGTTAAAATAGGTCTCACTTAGCAAGAGAGAGAAGCATCACATAGAACATCTAAAAATAGCTTGCGAACATTTCTCACGTTTCCCTCGTGGATATGACCTAGTGCACAAATGCATGTAAATTTATTTTGTCTGCCAACAAAAGGGTTCGGTTCTTAATTGAAGACAAGCTATTAGGGAGTGAAATGGAATGAGACATTTCAGGACGAGGAAGACCTGTACTCACTGCAGCAGTGTGTGAAGAGCAGGGAGAGGATGGTAAAGGACTGGTGATGTCAGCATCAACATGATCATGGTCAGAGGTGTGGGTGTCAGCTGATGCCTCAATGCCTTTCTGGAGTTCAATACTACACTTGAATACGTTTTCGTTTTACTGACTTGCCAGTGAAACATAGTAGAATATGGGGTTTTAAATTAGGTTAAATTGTGCCTAATTAATGGATTGAGTATAATCATTGTTAAATATATTTATCACAACTACGTCGATGTTACTGAAATAACACTGTATGATCTACGCACTTGACTCATAAGTTTCTGCTGTAGATTTTTCATTCCAGCACTCATGTCTTTAGCTGGTGAAGGGGATGTTGCCTTGCCCCTTCTCTGCAATGAAAACAAATTACATGAAAATTGAGTAAAACTATAGAAATAGTTACCATAGCCAACAGTACTAAATTAAACTACAAATGCAAATCCAACCAAATGTTTGTTGAATGTAATAAATTCACTCAATAATTCACTACTAGACTTCTTGAAAGTGAAATTAGGCACTTACAGGAGAAGGTCCTCTTATTGGCACTGGAGAAGGTGCCTTCGCAGGTACTGGGGAAGGCGCCCTCATAGGTACTGGGGAAGGCAATCGAGCTGAAACTGTGTTCCTCGTGGTGCTGGCCAGCTGAGACTTGGACTTGCTGGTGGGACACTTCGGGGGAAGTCTTGTGTCTCTCTGCGGAGTATTAGTGTTAACATGACTTCCGAAGTTGAGCGCCTCTATAGCCTGCGAGAACTGACTCTTCCGTGCCGACTGCGGCTTCTTTCCGGGAGAAGCATTCCTAACTGCCACTGGTGAGGGATCTCTCACCGCAGCCACCTTTACAGGCAACCTCAATCTAACTGGTACTACTGCAACTTCTTCTTCTTCTTCTTCTTCTTCTTCTTCTTCTTCTTCTTCTTCAGATTCCACTGGCGATGGGTCCCTCACCGCAGCCACCCTTGCCGGAGATCGCGCTTTAACCGGCGACCTCACTTTAACCGGAGACCTGACAGGAACGGGCGCCAGAGCCACTTCCACTGTTTCGTCGTCAGACTCCTCATCGCTGTCATACTCGAACTGGTAGGGCTTCAGCATGATGGCGGCTGTCGTCGTCACGGTGACGGGATTCGGCTCAGGCGAGTACTCGACGACAAGCTTGTTGCGCGACGCCGTGCTGCTGATGCGCATTGGACTCGTCGTCTTCTTGAAGATCTTGCCTTCCTTAAACTTGCGCACGGTGTCCGGCGACAGCACGTCCGGGCTGCGAGAGCGGGCAGCTGGCGCGTACGCACTTGCCGGCCGCGCGCGCGTTGCGCCCCCGCCAGGGCGCGCCGCCGGGCTCTCGACGGCGACGGAGCGCGGTCGCGGCTTGCGTCCGCGCTCGAACGCGGCCCTCGCACGCTCCACCGACGACACGGGCGTCGCATCGACCCCGCGCGCAGCCGTGGTCGGAGTCGTGCCGCCCTCGAACAGCGCCTTGTTGTTGCTGAACGCCGAGGGGTTGCCGCGTGCGGGCGAGCGCTCGACGGGCTTGCAGGGCAGGCTGACTGGCTTCGGCATGCCGGAGGCGCTCGCCTGACACATCGTCTGCCACTTGTTGTAGACGCTGCCCAGCTTACCCGGCTGCTGATCCGCGTTCTCGGCCGCGCTACCCTCATCGTCGTCGACATCGTCGTCCCTCGCGGCGGTTGCCGCGGCGACAGGCTCGCGCGACTTGTTCTCCCATTTGTTGTAGACGCTGGACAGCTGCTGGCACCGCTCCTCATCCGAGACGTCTGCGTCACTGTCGCTCTCATTGTCATCCTCACTCTCGCCAAAATATTTTGGCGGTTTCGACGACATTACAGCGTCCTATGGAAATATTGCATGGCAGCCACTGAATAAAACTATGTGCGAGTTTGTAACATTCATAGAGGCAGTTATTACTAATCATTAGAGCATTGTTATTTGCCTACAAATCTAGCTTATTTTCGAGGTGTCGGCTATGTCAACTAGCAATATTGATGGGGCCCTTAATAATATTAGCAACTGTAATTTATTATTCACACCCAAACCTGACTTGGACTTTTGTGATGCTATCCTGTAACTGCAGAAGATAAAATTCACACAAACTTACCATCTTTGATTTTTGACGGGACCTGCTTTCAATCTCATTCCTCCCCGGCGTTGACTCTGTCTTTTGACCCTGCACTTTTTTCGGTGACAGCTTCTTGACTGATTGTTTATCTGCTTCGACAAAACCAAATGCCTGCATCCGGCTAAGCGAATCTCCTTTTGCTTGCATTTCCTTTGACGGGGTCTTTCTCAAATTGACCTACAACACATACATATTATATACATTTTATAATTTATGATACATAATTAAGCAATATTCGTCCTGTCAGGCGACCTGGCTCTATAGTGCACACACGTACGTTAAAAAGGAATTTAAGCAAAATTAAATAAACAAATACAAAAGGCAATGTCATCATGGTGTATTAAACTTGGTGTGTCCACTTGTTCACTCAACCTATTTACACTATAAAAAAATGCATAACACAAAGATATATTATTATTACTAAATCCATTAAATACAAGTATTGTGTTTACATACATATTTTCAAGAGCGTATAAAGAAGCTCTTGATATTTTCAAATGTAATTCAAAGGTTTTATAGTAACACAGAAGTATTGAAGAAAGTGTAGAGAAGTGTAGAAAGTATCAAAGGAAAACACAAAATAAGCAGCAATAAACACAATTTATAAATAGCAGCAGGGTATACAGAGCAAAGCCAGATAAACTTGGATACTGCAAAACTTGATAATTAGGTTAGACATGCACATATGTAATGTATTTTGCATTATGTTATCCATAAAAATTGCATGCATAATCAATTTGAACAAACCAACTATGTCAGGGTTTCTTATACATAAGAGGCACAGTGGCGCACCGCCGTTGTCAGATTTAACATCGCCGTGGCGTTGTTAAAATGTTCCTGTATTTACTGATAAGTATATATCCTGTATCTCCTATAAGTATATCAATAGTCAATACATCCTGTATTTGAATCCATCATGCGCGTTTTTTTCCCAAACTGGCCATTACCTCCTTTGTCTAATTTTCCCTCAGAAGAAACCCTGTATGTATATATATATATCTTAACTGCAAAATGCCATAAATAAGGGGTTTGCCTTGCACGCATCGCATACAGACACGTGTATAGATGCACGATACACACACATATAGTATTAGTAACAAATTTACACACATCAGCCTCGTACATCGTTCATAAAACAATCAAAGCAGTAGAATGCAAAGCAAAACGTGCACCCAAACCATATCACCATGCATCTGTAGTTGCACTTACCTGGCTATCTGTGCCATCTTTAATTGTGGCTGGACTAACTGCAGACTGCAATATAAAGTTCTATATCAACGTTGTCCCTCTGATCATGCCCTAAATCACGAATGGGATATCACAGCAAACGTATATTCACCGCCGAAATAAACTTCCTAATTACTCATAATAGGAGTTAATTAACCAGTCAAACAACCCAAGTAAAAAAAAAACATGAAATTCTACAGTAACACACATATATGAGATAAAGAATTGACAGTCTACCATGCAGAATAGTAATGTAGCAAGCTTTACTGTATTTCCTATTTGCAATTTGACTGCCTATTCCTTACCATCATATATGCATTTGTACAGTCCATATGTGCTTAGACTGAATGGGGAATTAACTCACCTTAAACACAACTCCTTCTGCTTCCACTTCCGGCACTGTTCTAAACTCCTCCATTGCTTCACGTCTGTCATTGCCATTCGGCACGTCATGCTCGAATGTCCGCGATGGTTTAGCAGGAGCCATGGAAATCTCTGTCTTAATCACTGACCTGTAATTACAAGATGCTTATCATTACACCCATATGCAGCCATGTTCACAGTTCACCTCAGTCTTCACAAACAGATGCTTGCTGGCTTGCTGCCACATAAAGTAAAAAAGCACAAAAAATGCATAAAAGCATGGCTAAACATTCACCTCGACGTTTTTGTTCCCTCATCAGTTGTTACTTCCTTAGTCTTTATGGTCTCTGTTCTTGTAACATCAGACCAGGTGACAGAGGTTTTTATCTCTGGCTTAGAAACATCTTCACTCTCATCATTGGCTTCCACTGATTTTAATTGCTTTGTAGGGCTAGTTCTAAAACAGAGAGTAAACAGTGAGGATGATTACATGTGTGACGTGACCGCTTATGAACACAGGGTTCTCCCCAGGATGAAATTCAAACAGGGGGAGGGGAGAGGGGGGGAAACTAGGGGGGCGTGTTTTTTTACCGTACCACTAATTAATGCGTAAAATCGCCACCACACCATAGACGGTATTTCGGGTTCTTGTATATATAAGATATAGCCGAGTCGGTGTACAGTTAGTGTTGGGTGTGGGACAGGTTGACTGTTGTATTGTCTGCAGTGCATGCGTGGTACTGTAAAAATACACGCGCCGGGTGTACTGGTCGAATTGTACTTCTTGACGATCGATTCCCGCGCTGGCAAACTTTTATTGTGGTGGAATTTAATCGGGGCGGAGGTATTTTAAACGGGGCGCAACGATTGAAACAGGGGGGAGTTTTCCCAAATGCGGCGCGCGCGCCCCGTTTGCGCAACGTAGGGAGAACCCTGGAACATGATGGTGTGGAGACTCAAGACGCATCAATCCTACTCATTCAAATAAGGCATCAATCACCCATGTAACGCACAAAACTAGCTGCAGAATTACCATGCAGGGTGCAAAATTAACGGGAGTTTGGAGTCAAATACTCTCCGATTTACTGTTGGACTCCCTGATTTGACATATGCAGGAGTCCGTGTGACTCCCTGAATATTCTGCCATACTAACTAGTTTGTTCGGAGCACGGCCTCACAGAATTACAATATTTTTTCAGGTAATGCCCAAAGAAAATTTGGCAGACGTGCAACTGCATGAATCTTAAAAATAAGCACATGCGTTATTGTTAATCTCTTTTAAATGTTAAACCTCCGACTACGGACTCCCTCATTTTGCCGCAGACTCCCTCTTTTTGAGGGTAGGGAGTCCGTTGGACTCCCGTGTTCAAAGTTAATTTCTACCCCTGATTACTGATGGTTAATTTTAATGTAGGTTATTCACTTATTGAATGAACTTTTCTTAGAAAAGCACAAAACAGCATAACAGTCAAATAAACCTAAAATGTTAAATGAAACTAGAAAGGGCAGTTGTCGCCAACTACATGTATACCCCGTGTTCTCCCCAAGATGTGTAAGTATACGAAGTTTGGTCGCGCTAGGTCAATTAGGGGCCGAGTTATAGAGCGGAAAGAAAATATGATGAAGGTCAAGGTCAAGGTCAATGTCAAATAAAGGTTGCAGTGACCTGGTTTTTGGTACGCGACACACCTTCTCCCCAAGATGTGTAAGTATACCATGTTTGGTCGCGCTAGTTCAATTAGGGGTCGAGTTATAGAGCGGAAGGGAAATATGATCAAGGTCAAGGTCAAGGTCCAATAAAAGCCGCAGTGACCTGGTTTTGGTACGCGACACACATTCTCCCCAAGATGTGTAAGTATACCATGCAAGTTTGGTAGCGCTAGGTCAATTAGGGGCCGAGTTAGAGAGCGGAAGGGAAATATGATCAAGGTCAAGGTAAAGGTCAAATAAAGGTCACAGTGACCTGGTTTTGGTACGCTGCTCACCTTTTCCCAAAGATGTGTAAGTATACCAAGTTTGGTAGCGCTAGGTCAATTAGGGGTCGAGTTATAGAGCGGAAGGGAAATTGTCTGCGGCGGCGGCTGGGGAGACATGAAACCATAGTATCCCCGCCGACTTCGTCGCAGGGGATACAATTTCTTAGTCAAAGCACCCAATGGTGCATGGATACATTTCTGATATCAGAAAGCATTATTAACTCATTTTTGACTGTATAAAATCTGTGCACACCTGTGTCCAACTCCATGGTAGGAATAGTCATCTTCCCAGTTGTTTATCGTGCTTGCCAGACTTGCAAGTCGTGAACTTTTGAATCCAGATTTAGGCCGTTCATACGCAGGTGCTGACGGCAGTGTGTTAGGCTCCCTCTGCTTACGAGGTACCACCACTGGCATGTCATCAACCAGATTTTCATCTATTATATCAAAACAATAATACATTCACGTTACTAATATTACACTTGCACACATATCCACTTAAAATTGATCATGTACATGCATTATTAAAATTTAGTTATATAACAGACACAACATTGCCTGAACACAAAATGCAAACAACGATAGTATACTTACTGCCTGCTTCCCAAGGTTTTTGGTCGGCCAATGTTTTCAGCCTCGAGCGAACACCACGGATGGCTGGAGTGTCTGGCTTTACCTCCCGAGCAGTTTTACGAGACCAATCAGCTGTACTTGAAAAATCTGGAACAGGCAATTAAGTGACTAACAAAGGTTTCATGATAAAATACAGTTGTGTCAAAGATATAACGATTTTATCTGCTTATACTGCTCAATACCTAATTACTTTAAAAACTACCTGCGCTGTAGTATAAATGCTAGAAAATATTTACTTGGCTCATTGGATGCCACTAGCACTGCAAAAATTTCTATTGTTTGGTGTACACAAAGCAATTGTGGCCTGTGGGGTGATCCATGACAATGTTGGGTGTGGATGAGGGATGAAGAACGATATATACTAATGCTTACCATCTATGACTTCACTATCAACATTCAGACCGTCTTCAGCAAAAGGTTTCCTCTGACGTGTGGTGGCAGGAGAGTCTTGCATCTTCATATTTAGATTTTCTCTTCGGGCACGTGTTCTCGCAAGTAGTGTCTGGCAGAGAAATAATTCATGATGAAAGCACAATTAAAGCATTGAGAGTGAAATTACACACACATACAAAAAACATTCTTGTTACTCACTTACAGTTACAGTTGTGTTGTCTACGTAATCTAAATCTCCACCATGTCATAAATGCTGCAGCACAGCACACGTGCACAGGCACTTGAAACGTCTCAATAAAAACAAATAATGGTAAATAAACACGAAATGTATTTACTACCAAAGTCTCAATGTTTCTCAACAAGTTACATTAAAGTGATTACGTCACGAATTTCTAGCACCATCAAGTAGTACATTTGTGTGTTATTTGTACAAAATAAAATGTATGAAAATACAATTTAGTGTTTCTGTTTACTTTTCATGCTTATATGTACCTTCTTTATATATGCCCTAATTTGCCGGTGAAAAACAGAGAGATGCCAGTATCTGAACAGTACTGGGAGAATAGTGTTAGACAACAGAATTACCAAATCGTCTAGATTTTTGCAAATTTAACCAACGTAAAAACATTTTTATCAGGTGAGAGTTTGAAGATATATTTAGTAACGTTAGTTCTTACTTTTAATGTAAAAAAAGGGAATTTTTTTTTATACAAATTTTACCATGGAAAATTCGTGACGTAGTCAATTTAAGACTTTGGTAGTAAATACATTACGTGTTTATTTACCTTTTTTTATTGAGATGTTTCAACTTTCAAGTGCCTGTGACACAGTGTATTGCCATTTGGCATTTCATTTGCTTGCAGCACTGGCAATTATATTTATAATTATTGTATAGGAGACTATTTACGAGAGCATTTTCAAAAGTCGCAACAGAACTGAAATTAGTTTGACTCAAGCTGAGTGCTAGTCATAGATTAGTACTAGTAATAGTAGTAGTAACACTACTAGTAATATACTACTACTATACTAGTCACTGAGTGACACTGTCACTTGTCAGTGACAACTGACTAGTACTACTACTACTAGTACTAGTCTAGTGTAGTAGGCCTAGCTACTATCAATGTGTATCAATATCAGTGTCACTATCACTGACGCTGATAGGGTCTATGTCCCCCAGGTTACTGCCGGAACGTACCTTGGGTACGGTCCGGTATACCGGTGATCACTATATATTTGATTATGGGTTAGGGTATAGGATTAGGTGTTTTAGGGGTTTCAGGTTAGGGAGTGAGGCGTAGGCCGACTCTCGTTAGTGGAGTAGACGAGGTACGGTTCGGCATATAATGATATTAGATAGTACCAGGGTATACCGGACCGTACCCAGGGTACGTTCCGGCAGTACCCCGGGGGACATAGACCCTCTCTGCTCTCAGTCTCAGTATCAGTATCACTATCACTCAGTATCAGTAACTCGCGGCTAGGTCCTGCATACCTCCCAACTCCCATTGGTTGATACAAATATAGTTAATTTTTTAAATTAAATTCTAAGTAGTGTTAGGGTTAGGATTAGGGTTAGGGTTAGGGTTGGGGTTAGGATTAGGGTTAGGGTTAGTGTTAGTGTTAGGGTCACAATGCACCATAAAAAGAATTATTAAAACAGGAGTTTCAGGCACGTGATCTGTATCAACCAATGGGATTTGGGAGGTATGCAGGCCCTAGCTGCGAGTGTATCACTATCAGTATCACTATATCAGTGTAGCATTATGATGCTTTGATAAAATTGCCATTTCATGGGCATCTGAATTTTGAAAATATTTTTCTTAGCCATACTAGGCTTACTACTAGTACTACTACTAGTAGTAGTAAGCAGTATGGGAATGGGTAAGATAGATATTTTCAAATTTGAAATGTAGGTGTACTAGGATTAGGAATGCCGCTATCATGCGCAGTCGACACTGACAGTCTGACAGTCACTAGTATGTACTAAATACTATAATACTTACACATAATCAAAGACATTTTCGACAAAAGATTAGCTTAGAAGACAAAGCAAACATTGTAACTACTTACCTTCGTAAAATCGTCCATCGTACGACGAAAAACTACGTCAGTTATGTTAAAAACACAGAGGGCATATACACACTTGACGTCCCGTCACGTCCGCAGTGCTTGCCAAGCGCCTTGTTTTTGAATTTGAACTTCTAGGTAGCCAATCCGTAATGATAACGTAGTCACATGATCCTTTTCGCGTAAGCGCCAATCGCACGCCGAAAATATCTGTAAATAATTTTGACTGGGCACCGGATTGGCACCGGACGAGTTACCTGCGCTGGGATTGGCGGTTGCGTAGGCGGACTGTAGACTTGTGAGAAGGGACGGATACCAGTCTAACGCGCATTGGAGACGGGTGTTGCTATCTCCCGGGCGTGGAGTGAGGGTCACGCAACGTGGCATTAGGGTAACGTAACGCAACTTAGGGTTAAGGTTAGGGTTAGGGTTTTTGCATCATGATATTATCTGTCCCCACACCACAGATTCATTTTTGTGGATAACGCGCCTATTATGGCCTATATATAAAGATCCGATATATATTTAGTGTTGGGGTTAGTGTTGGAGTTACGGTTATGGTTACCACCATTATAATAGTATACTATAGTGTACTATAGTGTAGTATAGTATACTATTTCTATGGTTACCACAGACTAACGGATACACTACACCGTACACTACAGTGACTACACTGTATCCATTAGTCTGTGTGGCTACTGTTAAGTTTTGAAGTATACGTCAACTGTATCACGTGACCCTCACTCCATGCCCGGGGGATAGCAACACCCATTGGAGAATGAGCGCGCTATCTACAAATAGGCTACCTAGGGATTTTGCGCGCAAAACTGCCAAAAGTGTAGATAATCTCGCAAGTTCAGTTATTGCGTTTTCTGATCATTTTCAAGAAATCACTAGATAGACGGGAGTGGAACTAACTAACGTACGGTAGGTTGTAGTTGTTTAGATTATTTAAACTGGCACTGCAAAAGATCTTGGCTTTTCCTCTA